TACCCCTCAAGTACATTTTTACTGAAACTATTTATAAAAATGTATATAATGTTTTTAAATTACTCGTAATTGGTATCAAATGATAAGCTGAAGAACTTCCCGTACAACAAATTTTCAATTTTTCCAGAATTCTCAAAGTGCACGTGAGTATGACCTTATTTTATGAGCCTTTTCTAACATGAAACACACATTCCTGGTACGAATGCGATAATCGTCGATGTAACCTTTCTTTGGGTGCGGCGATGAACTAGCTATTGTTGTCACAATGGATGTAGGTAGAAGCACATGCTTCTGCTTTTCAATATGTTTACAATATTTATCGATACTTTACTGGGGACACTAGAAACCCTGTGACCCCCATTACCCTCGCTTCCCGGAAACTTTTGCAATATTAACTTTTTGCAATTTTCGATATTACAGATAGTTAATCGAAAATGGGTTTAGCACAATTTTTACATTCGAGGGGAAAATTTAAAAAAAATTATTTGAACCCGTTTTTTTAGAAACATATTGTTTAAATGTTGCCTAAATTACGCAAAAACTACCCATATTTTTGAAAAATTGTACGTTATCTTATTTTAAGTTGCCTTTTAAAGAACATATTTTATTTAGAAAAAAGTTCTTATCTTCAATGTTGTGATCGTAGGAATACGAAAAATTTAGAGTTTTTGCAAAGTTTCAAAATTCAGAGATTTCAACGGAAATGAGACATCATTCTCTCAAGCGTTCTTCACACTAACAGAGATCAATGTGTAATAAAAAAATTGGTCACTTTTAAAGGCTAGTATAGACGGTAGTTTTCGTGAAGATTGGACATACAGAAAAACGTGCTGTCCAGACTATACGATTTGTGCATGTTTGATCATGTTCGTAATTTTCCAAGCAGAAAGCTTACAGTTTGACTCAAGCGTCTCTAGTGGCAGAGTCTTTTACAAACGGATTTGTTTACCTGATGCGACGATAATCAGACAAGAAACATGTCTTGGTTATGAGGGATTATAGTGATAAACTACTTCTTTCCCTATTCCTTCCTTCCTATTTTTCTTCTCTAATTTCCTTATGGTTATTTAATGCTTAATAAAGATCACGCACGCACAAAAATACCGCCACTGAAAGCTTTCGGACGGCGCAATTCAGTTGTTTCCCGGTCGACGGCGTAACGACGTCTTGTGGTGATTCATACAGAAAACGTTCAGAATGTGTATGCGTAGCTTTGGCTATTATACTTCTAGTTTGGGATATTGAAGTTTCTGTTCATAAACTGTATGAGAATCAGTACGAAAACTGTACCCTGTATTCCTTCATTAAAAAAATTGAAAATGTTTTCGAGACTTTATGTAAAGTATCCCCAAAATCAAAACATCCGTTTAAAACTCACAGTGTCTCGATTTCATTTAAATCGATCGAAGAATATCAATTTGGATAAAATCGACTGAACTGTTTCGGCGCCAGCGTTGATCACATAGAGACAGACGGACGGACGGACGGACTGACAGACTCACTTTTTGCCGTCAAACGATTTTTCGATTTCAAGATCCCAGAAAACAAGGATTCAAACTTCACGGTTTAGAGGATGCAATTTACTATGCATAGGAACAACATTTACGCACTTTCGTTACAAGAGTTTTTCCGCCGCCAAATTTGCCGTTTTCTGGCTAACGATTAGAGTACTTTCTCTTGTTACGAAGGGCGAGAAAGTAAAAAGTGTTAGAAGAAACTTGTAACTTGCCAGAAATCAGAAACCAGAATCACCAACCAGAAATCATTCCTGGTAAATAAGATAATGGAGAATGCGGTTTAGAAAAACACCTCAGAATGATCGCAAACTTAAAAGAAACCTTCGTGTATCCAAGCGTTAGTCTTATCAATAAGATATCTAAGCAGACTATTAGTATTAGTGAAATTACACTTACCGAAGGTAGTTCCAATACATAAAAAGAAAATATTTGAAAAATGTATACGTACATTTCTTTAAACTATTGTTGTAATATTGATGCGTTGTTTTAATACTATAAATGGGACATTACAGAACTCAAAATTCAAAATCAGGAAAAATTCTGCCCCCGAATCAATTAGTTTTAATTTATTTACGACTCTTTCATAAATACTTTCGTTTCTTTACGACCATGTGGCAAATGTTTTCATCTAAAAGCCATGCGTGACTTGAACGAACTGTATATGGTTCTAAATTCTAAACTATGGCACTAAACTATAGCTTTCAAGGAACAATGACCACGTGTGTTCTATTGTGTAAGTAGCTGCACGTTTACGTGAAACTTCTTCACATACTGAATAACACTGGTAAATGTTGATGCTACTGAGATACCAGCATGAAAACTATTTGAAGTGACGAACACTAGAAATACAAATGTGACCACGAGGAAGTATGTCAATGTTACCAGATTATCCACTTTGGGGAAAATTATAGCATTAGTCACTCACTAGTTTACATAACATTTGTTTGAGCGTAGAACCTTAAGATTCCAAAGGCAGATTGTTTCTATTGCAGATTGGTAAAATATTGTTCAATAATAAATTATCCATTGATAAAAAATAATCGTACAAATTCGATAATACCTGTTTAAATTTAAATATTAGGTTTTTTTGAGGTTAGGACAGTGGTAGAGAAGGTAACTCTACCTACTTCTTTTGGTTAGATGCCGACGTTTCGGCTCTTTACTGTGCCTTCATCAGGGCTGGAAATTTATTACATGCAAGTTTCACAGATTTGTTACAGGTAAGTTTATCACATTGGGGATATCACATGCAAGTTACACAACAAACCTCTGAAACTTACGTGTAATAAATTTCCAGCTTTGATAAATGATCAATGAAGGGCCGAAACGTCGGCATCTAACCAAAAAAGTATGTATGAATTTCCTTTTCTACAACTGATCTACAATAACCCCAAGAAAAGCCTAATATTCATCTTTCAGAGGACAAGAAATAATGTAAAATCAAATGTTTAAATTTATATTTTTTTTATTTTATGTACTTACTAGCTGAAGTAATCTGATGCTCAGCTATTTATTTATGCTCCTTCCACTGACCTATCCGACTCTGAACAGCCCCAACCCGTTTTGCTAAGCAACGCCTACCAAAAATGTTACCGCTGCCCAACAAAGACTCGCATAGAGGGGATCCAGTACCTAAAACTTAAGGGATATAACAAATTCTGGGGAAACTTTTTGAAATATATCTACTTTTGTCTACCTTTTTTTCTCGGCTTCTCAAGTGTCAATGTAAACGCGTTCGTAGGCTTCCGCGGCCGGAGTCAATATATTGGTAGGCAGTATAGCCCTGAAGAAGGCCGCAGCACGATGGCCGAAACGTCAGCACAATTAACCGAGACGCGGCTCATTCCGAATAGCCAAGAATGTAATGTCAATGAAAACTTTGAGAGTAATCGCTCCAAAATGAATGTTATTGTGTGAATGTGCATGATATATACATACATTCATTTTTATATATTAAGAATGTAGTTCAGGGGCTAAAAACGTGTTTTTGTTTGGCCTACTTAGACTTACCTAACGAAGAGATCTTTATTTTAGTTTCCGTGTATTGATCAATGTACTTATAGGGTGTTATAGTAAACTATATTTGTAATTTTTATAAAGTTGCTGTATTGAGGAATTCTCACTTGAAATAGTTTCTAGAACACTCCAAAAAGATGCGTCGGAAAAATATATTGCTAAAAACTTTAAAATAAAACATTCCAAAAAGCCAGTTCAAGAAATAGATACAGATTCTCGCGAAGGGAGCGCGTGAACCAGAGAGTCTAGAGTTGTATGACGAATGAATTTAATTTAACTAGTTCTCCAACAGCACATACATTCTCGCGTTATTCGAAACAGCTACGTAATATTGAAATATTGCATTTTCTGCACTACTAATGTCTCATCTATTGTTTAATTCACATAACCGCAAGGATTGAATTTTCAATGTGATGTCTGCACAATAAATACCGACCGGCCCCCGGTTTATAGAATTCATAGTTAATTGTTGTCCTCGCCTGTCAGTGTCAGGCTCTCTGCCGTGGATGTCTTTTTTGTTATGTGATAATCCTTCTGTTTCGCCTTTCGTTAGAGTGAAAGAACTCATCCGCAAACGAGTGTGAACTCAGTGTCAATTTTCGAAAAATTAGGGATTTCAACGAAAATGAAACCTGTACCATTTTTCTTAAGCTTCTATTACTATATCCGAGAAAAAAGTTTAATTAAAAAATTATGAGCAAATTTTTTGAAATTTTGAAATGTAAAGTACCCCCCAAAATTAAAATATCGGCTTCGAATTCCAGAGGTCGAGACATCAGCCAGAACGATTGGGGAAAATCAATTTTGGAGAAAATGAGCTGAAGGGTTTACGTGCCAGCGTTGTCCACAAACGACGAACAGAGGCGTTTTGCCGTCAATCGATTTTTCGGTGTCAAGGACGCACAAAACATGTATTCTGGCTGCATCACGTGTTATAGGAATTTTTTCTATATTTAGCAAATGGATTTATCCCCTTTTTGGTTACCAGGGTCCGACAATAACAGTTTTTGTGTCGAAAATTCGCTGTTTTCTGGCGCACGATTACAATACTTTCTCTTCTTTCGTTAAAAAAGGCGAGAAAGTAAAAAAAAGTGCATTGTCAAAGATTATAAAGAATAGGAAGAAAAGGGGCATCGGACCGTTGAAAGAGTTGAAGCTGGTGTAGAAGTTAATATAAGAGATGGTAAAGGATCGATGAGATTAATGTGAAACGATGTTAATGTTTGATATAAAGGATAGTTGGTGTTGATGCCAACAATGATTTATGTTAATGATTTATCTCAGTGGCGATTGACGCTTCCAATGATTTACATCGACGACGGTGGATGATGATATTGATGATTTGTGATGTTAAACATGCAAGACGTTAATGATGCATGATTCATGATGCATCATTAACGGTCGAACGGTCATCGTTGATGGTCGAATACAAACGAGATTTCAGGTTACCCGCAGTTGTGCAATCCTCGCGACCATTGCCACGGGCAAACGCCTTCTCCGAAAAGCTTCCTTGCAGCCCCCCCACTTCTACCTCCAGCCCTGCGCGATCGGGGCCGTGTGGTCTACCTCCCACTGCTCGGCGTAAGAGCTGGCGCTGCATAAAGCTGCGATCCGCGCGCAGCCAGTCTCGTGTTTGTCACAGCGTCGGCCGCGTAGCTCAGCATACGCTCCTCCGCGCGCTCTGTCGCCATGGGTGAGTAACACTCCGTCGCCGGGGCCTCGCTCTAGTAGGCAGAGCGCCACGCAACCGGCGGGCCCCGCCTCTCGCGTGACAAACACCTTCAGAGTTTTGACCTCAAAATTAGGATAATAATATAATTATATAGAGCCGCCCAAACGGAGCAGACTGGATGTGATAAACAGTTGCTGGTTTAAAATGTTTCCATACTTTTTAGTGTTTTCATCAGGTAATTTTGAGGGAGGTTTTTCGTGATTTTAATTTAAATGATTTGAAGGATTATAATGTCGTACATCAACATTTCAATATTTTTTGTATTAATATTATCTTTCTAATAAGTATGTGAGAGAATGTCCAATAAAGGTTATAACGTTTTAAATCAGCACCTATTTACCTCATTGCGGCTGAGTTATATTATTACCATACTTTCTTCATAACGTAATCGCATCTTAGGATATCAAAAGCTGGAAAACTAAGCAATTTTAAATATAGTTTACAATAAACATTTCACTAAAATTTTAATGACAGAATCAAACTGAAGCTTTGCAACTAGTATATTCTGTTGTGTTTATTTCTGAGTGGTAGGCAAGACAGTAGCAGGCGTACCTTCAGTTTGACGATAATTATGTTCGTAAATACAAAAAGCAAATTATACACATTTTGTATAATAAATCATTTACATTTAAATTAATATCTTTCTTAGCTTACGAAGACCAATGAAAATTTAAAAAATCAACGGAATAAAGCTAATACTTTGTGTATTATCATAAACAAATAAAATGATGACAAAGAATTTGATCCTCTAGGAATTAGACCTAAGAAGACTTTATTAAAAATCATGTTCATTCAGCATCAGAGACGCATCATGCTTTAATTCATATACAGAAGCGAATTACTTATATACTTGTACTTTACACTTTCTGAGCACTTTACGTAATCCCCTACATAGAGTATTTAAATTATCTCAACTTCTTGTTGATTTCTTTTATCCCCGTGTCACTTTTACGATGAAGAATGAAACTGTATAATTATTTCTTATCTTTCCTCATTCGATTCTTGTCATTGATTCTAATTTTAGAGAACAAGCAACAGCGCTCGAACCTTAAAGGCGAAAGTGCTATCTTCCAAAGACGAGAACCGTTAGCAGGTTGAGCGAACGAACTAAACACAGCGGGGGGGGGGGGGGGGGAGAAGTAGAACTTATATAGAAACAGGGAAAACTTGTGCGTACAGCAAATGCCTGCAACTCCGTCGTTAATTTCCATGACTCGATAGCAGGGAAACCACGACGTCGAGGTGAGTGTGCGCATGGTCCTCGGTTGACCTTCACTTCGCGCTGTACAAGCGACAGACAGGTGCGCCAAGTGCATTCTCTCCGACTCCGTGCTTGTTTACTCTCGTTGACGGGACCACCTGCCTATGGCATAGAAAGGCACATAATACATTGCTATGGCATGCGCGTGTAATTAAAAAGTGGAATTTTTTGTTGATACAAGTGTCTGCAAGGGTTTAATTGTACCTTGTCCCATAAGTAAAATCGTATGGGATCTACTTTTTGTCACTTAGTGAAGGCTCACGTAAGCTAAAATTTGATGTCAGTTTTTCTGATTTCTTTCGCTTCACCTGAAAAATAACTCAAACTGATTTGCTATGGTTTTATTCACGTCGGTCATAGAAACACAGAAGCGCTGTACAATGAGAAGTTCTATCCACGGCTCATTTTAAATAAATTATTGATAACCTTCATTCATTCACTTCTGAAATATAAATACATGTTTTTAAAATGTTTGTTTCAGATCTGTATCATTTAGATGAAAATATTATTTGATATAAATGATATTTTTACTGTGTCTCAGTGATTTTGAGGGCAAAGCCAAGGACTTCGAACAAAAAAATATCATAAATCGCATTTAGAAGAAAATGAAGTGTAATGTGGAGTTTTTATCCGCTTAAAAATATGTATTCTACTCTACATTCTTCGGAAGTTTTTCATGGACAATCCGCTCTCCTTTTGTTTCTTTTTTTCCACAGAATCCCGCTTTGGAATAAAAAATTATATTAAGTCTCCCCAATGTTTTCGTAATGAATGAATAATTCCTTACCATGAACTGCCAACAGTGAGATCAAAATAATAGTTTACTTTGACCTGAGAAACGTCTTTAACTTTAGTGAAAAAGTGGATACAATGAACGCGTATTAACAATATTGTGGTAATGACTAAACATCGTACTTCAAAAGTACATAATTCATTTTGAATATTCTAGTTCTCGTCCCACATTCACGTAAAGATATGTTTTGCGAGGAATCAAAGAATAAATGCCGGCCGGCTAAATCAGACGGAATGAAATCCATTCAATAGAGTAGCCAACAGGACACGAAGCTAAAACAAGAAACAATGTTAATTACTTGCTAACTGGAGGAAGAACCGCAAAAGGATTCGTGAAAGAGTAATTTTTGTTTTGTTGGCACTTCTCTTTAGCCTCCAGCTCTAACTTTGACCGCAAACAAACAACTTGACAATTTGATTCCTTAGCGAATCTTCATCAATGCTTGACCGTAATCGTTAAATTGATTTCTATCTCATAGTTCACAAAAAAGGAAAACTATTTCCTTTTCTTAAAAACTTCAAATCTTTCTCATTTCTCGCCGTCGTTCCAATGACCACGATCATCTGCCCTTTCCTTGTATTTTTCCTAGAATAAATAATTCATTAACGACCATCTTTCTTACCTGACACATCGACCACTGTTTCTAGAATTAATTTTAACTTTCACAACTGAGAATAACTCTATGGACAATATGAGTCTTGTTCATACCGAACAAATACTAGTTTTTGTTCACTCAACCCTTCTTTAAGCGCGGCAAAATATATCTGTACTTCAAATAACAAGATGCATTGCGGTTCACGGGATTATCGAAATTCCAAAGGCTTTCAGCAGGAATTTTTCGGAGAACTTTATTGGAAATTTTTTAATTGAACAACTTTCATATACAATACATGGCATTAATTCATAATCTGATTGGCAGAAATATTTCATTTGCACACATCATATGTACAGAAAAATTTCAAACTGAGAATAATAGCGTAGTAAAGTTATTTGTAAATTTCAAATAATATTTCAATTTCGTTATTTAATCAAACCAAATAATTTTCGTTAAATTCGTAATAATTCCTTATGCGTTTATTAATATCGTGAAGTTTATTTTACTGGAAGAAACCTCCTTTAATAAACACATATTACAAAATGTCTTTTATAAGGGTTTGTAGGCTTCCGCGGCCGGAGTAAATTCATTCTTGGCTATCCGGGATGAGCCGCGTCTCGGTCAATTGTGCTGACGTTTCGGCCATCCTGCTGTGGCCTTCTTCAGAGCTATACTGCATATAGCTCTGCAGAAGGCAGCAGTATATCTCTGAAAAAGGCTACAGCAAGATGACCGAAACGTCAGCACAATTGACCGAGCCGCGGTTCATCCCGGATAGACAAGAATGTCTTGTATAAGGAATTCCATTGTCCCATTAATTAATGTCCCAGCTTGATTGTCCCATTAATTAATTATTTGTACATTTATTAATTTGTAATGATTAAACATACAAGTTCATCAATGTACTTCTGACTAAATAACTCGTTATTCATTATCAAATGTTCACTTCCACAGGTTTAAAAGGAATAATTGCTTTTGCCACTGTGTTGCTGCTCCTCAGCACAGATGTGCCATCTGTGGCGGGAGGCGTAGGAAGTAAGTGCACAAACAGATTTTCACACGACGCTTTCGTTAAACTATTAACAACTACATCGCATTTATCTTACGAAAGTGAAAGAACAATGAGATAGTTGGTTCTCTAAACATACGGTTCAATGTTTCTCATGTAATATATGTATGTACTAGATAGCAATATGCAGCAAGTGATGATGCAAATGTTAGTGTGTAAAATAAGTTATAATTTGTAAACAAGTTAAAATTTGGAATTTTGCATATTCACAGCTCAAAAAATTTTCTTTCTGGTATTTTATTACTTCATTTTCCTGAATCACGACAACGAACCGTATTGTACATTCGAAAGATTAATTATTAATGCAAATTCACATATCTCCGAACATTATATTTCAATAAATAATATTTTGTTCTGTTTGTCTCATTTTACAGCTGGCACGTGTCCCTACAACATTAATAAACGTCCGATGTGTCAGTCGGACAGAGACTGTGGTTTTAATGGCAAGATATGTTGCCCCAGCACGTATGGTTTCAGTACGTGCGTCGACGGGCGGACGGTGGGATGAAGACAATGTCGGTCGTCGTCGTTAAGCATCCATAAACTTTTCATGAATCACTTATAGACTTTTTCTGATATGTGGTAAACAGTTCAACAAGGTCAATTTCATTTCGCAAGACATATCAAGAGGAATTGCTAAGCACTTCAGAAAACTGTTTTGAAAATACGCACATTTTGTATGTATTCTGTAATGTGATTTCAGAATCCTTACTCCTAAACATTCCTACTTTTTCCTACACATTGTTGGAAAATGTAAGAAATGCGTTTGCCTTAAAAAATGTATTTAAAAAACATTGAAATGTCTTAAATACAATGTCTTGTGTTGTTTTTAGGCAACAGTTTCTTTAAAGTTTTCATTCAGGAAAATATATCTTGAAATCATTGTAACAATGACAAACATACAACAATTCTGTGATTACAGCATTTTAAACCGCATAGTCTTCACATCACTTGGGACATTCTTTTCAGAAATGACATAAAAACATAAAATTCACTTCAACCAAGAATTAATGTATTCCTGTATTTCTTCAATTTAAAGTTTCCTTCCAATGCAATTACTTATTGCATTGGAATGTATTGTATATACTGGCGACGTCCCTTCCTCGGACGTGGATTAAGGGGGTACGTGTGGTTGGCAAGTAGACATCCCAATGCCGTATTACGGTCTTCTCAACCTGAGAAGTGACTTTTCTCATCGTCACAGCAACATATACTGGGTCGTAGCAAGGAAAACGCACACTAGTCTTGACTCGACCGGGAATTGAATTCGGGGCCGTGTAGTGGAGAGATAGCACGCTGACTAGGAGACAATTACTTACTGAAAAAATTAAATATTTCTGAAATTCTGTCTCAAAACGCCCATCTTTAATTTGCCTGTTGAAAATGTCACAAATTCCTTGTTTGATTTCTTCACATTCTTTCACAACTCAGGATTCTTGCAAATACGAGCTAATAGCAAATGGAAAAAAATGAATCTCTCTTGTACTTGCCTGACAGTAAATGCAAATACAATAATAAACTTCAATATTGTATATAATTCATTGGGTCTATTTCTTAACTAAAACATTTCCTTAAAATTATTTTATGCAATTAAATCTCACCATTAATTAAATACATTTGCCTCAAAAACGACTTTCCTAGGTACAATAAGCAAATATTAAATCCAAAACATAAATAAGTAATTTATTCTACAAAAGAGGAAAGTAAGATATTAATCGCATTTTAGTCTGTTTCCAAAAAACATTCAGTTTAAGTCTAAAACTACCACTTAGTACAAACTAAATAATTTGACTGAGCATCGTTCGTTGCAGCGCGTTCTTTGGCAAGTAATATAATTATAAATACACCATCGTGAAAGAAGGTCGTTGACTTTCAAATGTAAATACCTCTTTGGACGGTCTGTGTTGCAGGTTGAGTCGAACTTTGATGTACCTACTATCATATATTACTGAAGTGAATAAACCGTCTTTTAAATACTTATAAATTCTACAATATTATTAATTTGCTTTTAAACTATTTAATATATTTTACGGCCCCGTATTGGGCCTACCATTGAAGTGAATCAACACAATTTCTACTTAAAATATTTTCTCTCTTTTTTGTAATTAATAGAGTGACTAGCTCTGGTTTTAATTTTAAACTTCTGGGAATCAGTATACTTCTTAGGGTTGCATCTTGATTCTCAGGCCTGCAAATACCGCTCGTACGAATGATTGAGTGATAAACAATTTAACTATTGTTGGGGAATTTTTCTTTTTAATCAATTAAACAATCTTCAAATTTTGCTTATGACTAGCCAGCGACATTAGACGTCGGCAGACACGATTTATTTATTTTGAATTCCTTCGTAATTAAGGTTGTTCAACAATATATTTTTTTTACTTCTCTATTGTTTCTATTGATGGCCATCAAATTCCTACCAACAAAACACACGTAATAATTCTTTCATAATCTTAATGTTAACTTAATATTTAAACATGACTTGGCCTTCTTGTAATATTTTTATTAATGTCTATCACTTATTGCCTAAACTTCCTTTTTGCGAAATGTAGAGCAATCTTGGCGTTGTTAATAACATCAGCGACTATTCCAATTCCATCTGTAGCTCTTCTTATGTCCACACTGAATTTCAGCTAATAAAATTTCTATTCTTATTCGCAATCTATTTATCTCGCGGATATTACAGACTTTTTTCCGAAAAATCTCATTTAAATTACTTCGCTATTCTCCCGTTACCCGTGGGTGTCATGTCCGTTTTCTATCTCGTCGGACTAATAACAAAAATATTACTACGCAATGCGTTGACGGCCATCGATCCTCACCCTACCAAATCGGAGATCATTCTGTCTAAAATTCTTCTTTACACTTTTCCTTGTTTTATTGTTATTCGTATTTCTTCCTCAATGCGCTCTCGTCGCACCGCAACTATATACCGCAAGCGTCATTTATCTTTTATAAAACAATGTCTTATAATATTGCTTTGCTATCTTTTCGAAAAAAATTCCAAAATTGCCCATATTTTATTAAATTCAATTTATATTTGGAGTTTTTGATACACTACTTTCTCAACGTCTCATATTAATTAACTTCATTACGCAATTTCTTATATTTTGCAAGCTATATGACTTTTAAGTTTATGCTTCTAAATGCCAAAAATCCCATTAGGTATTTTGCCTTGCCTCAATACCCACTATACTCGTAATGTACTCTCTGTCCACTACATATACCCACTATAATATACTCTCTGCCCACTATGCTGAATTCACAAGATCGTTCATCCAGCGACGTAGCTAGGGCAGGGGGGCAAAAAGGGAGATGCCGTGAGCGAAGTAGTGAGGGACGACAAAATCGGACTTAATTGGCTACAAGGGTGCATGTGCTTCTTTGATTTCTTTGTGAATGTGTGACGTATGCCGGTGCCGGATTTAGGGGAGATCACCGCTCCTTGCCGTAATAAAAAAAAATGCACTGCACTGACGGGTCTAATGTCTTAATCAGTTGACGCGCCCGGAATCAAAAAATCAATAAACTCATGTATGTGTGTATTCAAATGTTGTTACTCTCAGTACACAGATATGTAGTGACGCTCGTTGTGTTTAACCACTCCACCTGCCTCACCGAACCTGACGTCATGTCGCGCCCCTCTATTACGTGCTACGTAGAGAGTAAGAGCAAGTTGCAGCCGTAGAAGAATAAGGGCAGGCCTCCCGATCTGAGGTAGCTAGCAAGCAGAGTGAGGGACGGTAACATTTGGTCAAGGTTTTCGACACTAGCTACATAGCTAGGACGGATTCTGTCGCTGTCTGGAGGAGAATTCTAGAGGCCGGCTGCTCTGATCGGTAGTTTTCCGTATTTTGTTTGATCAACACCTACTCTAATGGACCACGCGCGATTTTTTCTTCCTCTTCCTTGTCTCATTCTCACTCCTTATTTACACACACACACACATGTGTATATGTATATATATATATATATATATATATATATATATATATATATATTATAACACATGTCGGGACTTTGGCGCTTGTCCCGGCTAGGGCGGTGTCCCGCAGAATAACTGGTTAAGCGAAAACCCCTTAAGCCGATGTGTAAGTGTAACGTATTAGCCAGCGTGCCTCATAGCATCTATTTGGGGCGCTTGGTAGAGCGATGTGCCTCGCCACAGGAAAGAAGGGTTTTTCCGAAAGGGAGAACGTCCGGAAAGGGAGACCCGACAAGGCTTGGGGAGTCATCTGGCCTTTTACTGTTATATACAAGCGAGGGGTGTGGCGTGACCGTAGTAGGTGCACGTGGCCTCGCCTATATAACCAGAGTGTACAGAGCCAGTGGGTGGGTTCTGGAGACAGCGGAGAACCCTCCTGTGGGCGTGTGCCACGAAAAACCTGGCGCCACGACTGTTGCAATATGCCGCCAGGCTCGGCGAGGCTGGAGTCATTAGTTGACGAAGCCTGCCGGACTTTATGTCCTTGGGTGACTGCGGACACGGGGGAGCGGATGCTGTGTCGTGCTCCGAGGTGAAGAGTGGTTGTGAGTGCCACGATTTCACGCCGATGTCTCAATTCGGATGAAGATCGCTCCTGCGAGGAATCCGAGGGCAAACCAGCGTTGGTGCGGCCAGAACGACTTTGTGCCCCAAGCGTGACATCCGGTCACGAAAAGTAGGCTTGTGCGCCATTATCAAAAGTAGGAGTGGCGAATGCACAATCAAAACCATCTTCAATCGGGTTTTGGATCGCTCCCGCGATCTAGGGGATAGTAGGTCTATCAGAGCTAGGGTGTAGTAAGATTATTAATGTATATATTTGTTTTGTTTTATTGTTAATAATACTTTGTTATATGAAAGCTCTGTGTCTGTGGTCGCTGTGAGTATCCATGACGTCACAGTAGGTAGGTCGGCGCCGAATCTCGCCAGCTAGCGGGGGAAGATCACAGGCACTTCTCACGATAAAAACACTACACCTAAGTAACTAATGTCCTTAGCAGTTGACGCGCCCGGAGTCACCCACCAAACCATCAATCAATCTGGTGGTACTATAATACACTTCACATTGGGATTTTGCCGATTAATATGATCATTTAATTTCGAGAGCACATCTGTGAACGTCGGCTCGGACATTCGAAGTTTTTTTTTCTCACCATCATTACATAAAATTTGAAATAGGGTATAAAATGTTCCCTTAAAAAGACGCATACTATTAATGACATGAACCTACTTTTCTTATATAAGTTTCCTTCTAACGCAACACACATGGCCTCCCCATTGCTGGCTCCACGGCATCCCTGTTTGTTACCACAAGGCCACAGGGCAGTGGTTGCACGGCGCATTTGACGTCACAGGGCGTTGGTTGCAAGTGCATTTGACATCCATTGTGCGGCGGTAATCGTTCGCGTGTGCCCTTACAACCAACGGACGTCTAAATGACGGACGTCAACGTGGGACGTTTTGCGATGCTCATTTGTCGCTAGCCTTGTACTGAGATTTATGCAATTCTGCCACTGGCAGGTATCAGTTGTTGACGATTTGTGGCGTCACTATGGTGATGTTCATGCCCCCGATTGGATGAAACTGTCAACAGCGCATACCAGGCAGGGGCAGAGTTACAAAAATCGCAGTATAACTCAGGCAGCCTTAACTCAATTCTAAGGCAGTTTTCCCAGTAAATTTATGTGCGTGTGACATTCAGAAAATCACTTACATTTCTATGAAAACCCCATTTGGAGTCCGTGATAAGGAAAATAAATTTAAAATAAATTTG